TAAGCACAGGTTCTCTGAGAAATAAACTCGGACATTTCACGACCACAGTATGTGATCTTTCCTGTTATCTGCACAAAAAAAGTCACATAAAGCAAACTGAGAATCTTATGATTTAGGAAATTAGGACTACTTTGCTGCCAAGGAATTAAAAATTTTTGTAACTTCACAGTGCATACCCTCAAGTCCTTGTCTGTTTTCCCGGAAAGTGCCTTGAGCAATGTAGTTTTTCCAGAGCCTGGAGGCCCAAGAAGCAGTGTCATCCTGGAAAAGCAAATTTAATCAACCAAACAGGAATAGAAATCAAAAGCAAGTTATATTTGTAGAACTTCATTGACATGTATACCTTGATGGTTTTACAATTCCATTCACACCTTGGAGGATATTAACAACCCTTTTATTAGATGGGAAAAGCTTGAGAAATCCAAGAATTCCCTATTCACAATAACAAATTAAATTGAAATTAATAACAATTTCTATGAGGACGCAAATTTGCAAAAGAAAAAAGAAAAATTCCCAAATTGAGAAGTTGAAAGTTCTATTAAACTAAATAGTATAAACTTTTAACGTCAACATGTAAAGGTCAAAAAGGGTAAACCTTTTGCTTCTTATATGGAGTTTTTTTTATTTTATTTTTTATAATATTAGTAGATATAAATAAGAAAATCTAATCATGGTTGAAAATAAGGGGTTGTTTGGGATGACCTAAATAAGTGCACTTTTTGTCTTTTTATGAAAAGATGTGCAGAAAAGTAGAGAGGTGATGTGATGAAAAAAAGATAAAAAGATAGATTATTTTAGGTATGCCAAACTTGGCATAAATAAAATGACGAAACTATTAAAAAAAAAAAAAAAACCACCTCTATCATATTCACTGTAGCATTCCACAAGGTGGGAAGTGCTCTGGTTCCAATATATGCATCACCTTCAATTGCCAAATTCTCAAAACGGACTTCAATCTTTGGGATTTCAATTCCAACCCTGTTCAACACAAATCAAAATATTCACAATAACTTCTAAATCATAAAAAATAAAAAATAGAAAATTAATGAATAACATAATGGACTGTAAAGCAAGTTCACCTATCAGTCCTGTCTCTGAGTCTCAGAAGAAATCTCTCATTGTCATCTTCAACAACTTTTAGTATACTCTCCATGAGCTGTTGCTTATCTTGAACTCGAAGGTTAGCCACATCAATCTCTGCATGGACAATCCTTCCATTGTCCAAAACGTGCTTCAAAAATCCCTTTCTCAGCCGATCATATGTTGGAAGTCTCTCAATGGCAGCCCACTTGAGCTCTTCTTCATCGTCTTCTCTCCCACTTCTTTGGAAAACATCCCCTCCTGGTGCAGTAAACGCCTCGCGAATACTCCCTGTGCCCCATCCTCTCTTGCTTGCCGATGAAATGCTCATTCGCCTGCTAATTGACCGTGCCAGGTCATCGCCTGCCAATGCAGTCATGGCCATTTCTGACCACTTCAACACTCACAAAATCAAATTTTCAAGATTTTGCAAGATTCACTACAAGACTGTCACCCTCTCAAATATGGTTTTTGTGTTTGAATTGGAGGGTGGTGGATGAGTTTGGAAGAGGTGTGTAGTGAGAGTATATATGTAGGAAAGGGGGGGGGGGGGATAACAAGGCATTTAAATAGGGACAAAAGATGGTATTAGAGTTGTTGGATGAGGATTCTATCAAATGGTTGTATAAGAAATTCTTAGTTTTGTCATGTTTTAAGGCCCAATGTGTCTTTCTATTTCACTTGAGTTTGGGTTTTGGGTTGGATAGTACTCTTTTTCTATGACAACTGCATCATTGATGTCTGCTCTTTTGGCACCATCTTGGCTTCCTAGATCCTAAATCCTCCCCTATTCTATTTCTACATTTCCTAATATTGATCTTATCATCCTTCAAATTCTTGATATTACCCCAAAGAAGGATGGGCCTTTGGTGGGTTCATTCTGAATCCACTTTCATAATTCATATGGTTTATCTAGTAAAACCTATTGACTACATCACATATGTAAAAGATTAGATTGATGAACTTATTTGTCTTAAAATAATGTGTCATCTATTATCAAAATCAGATTTTACATTTATTTTTTTAAAACAGCAATGATTGAGGGCCACAATTTTTGTGGCTCAAATGGCTTGAAATTGCTAAACCGACGTCGTTTTGAGTACAAAACAACTTCAAAATTGCCAAAACGACGTCGTTTTGGCAATTTTGAGCCATTTGAGCCACAAAAATTGTGGCCCTCAAACATTTTCCTTTTTAAAATAGGTAAATCCATCCAAAAGACACAACCAACTCTATTGTGTCCGAAGACACATCGAGTAAAGTATCCAAATATAAGGGGGCAAATAATAGGACAACGAAGTTCAGAAGAAATAATTACAACATGTAATAAATATTATAAATATTAATAATTAAAATTAGGATAAATTACAAACATACCCCTTCAGATTTACTTAAATTATAAATTATCCCTTGTGGTTCTAGAAATTATATTATGTCCCCTAAGATTTCTAATTTCATAACAAATTGGTCTTTTTATTAATAAATCATCAAGTTAATTAACAGTTTTGTTAAAATTTTATTTCAATTAATAATTCAGATAATTTTATTATTGTATAGGTGAACGGTTAGAAATTTTACTTTTTCAATTAATTCTATTAAATAAAAAATTCTGACAGGGAGGTATTTGAAAATTTTCGATTCACATGAGATAATTCGTATTTTAAGCAAACCTCAGGAGGTGTATTTGTAATTTACCCTTAAAATTATGAACTTTTTTTTATAAATTTATAAAAAAATTTAAAAACTACCATTGAATGGTAATTTCTTCAAAATAAAATGCGTGAATCTATTTATTCTAAATGTGACCCACAATAATATCAAATTTACACCAACTAAAAATTTAAACCAATAATAAACCTCTGCGTGAGGGTGTATCTCAGAATTAAAATATAACTACTCACTCTCACATGATTATATATATATGTATGTACATGGTAGTTTGTTATTGAACGAAAAGGTTAGAAATTTCATTTTTTCAATTAATTCTATTAAATAAAAAATTCTGACAGGGAGGTATTTGAAATTTTTCGATTCACATGAAATAATTCGTATTTTAAGCAAACCTCAGGAGGTGTATTTGTAATTTACCCTTAAAATTATGAACTTTTTTTTTTTATAAATTTATAAAAAAATTTAAAAACTACCATTGAATGGTAATTTCTTCAAAATAAAATGCGTGAATCTATTTATTCTAAATGTGACCCACAATAATATCAAATTTACACCAACTAAAAATTTAAACCAATAATAAACCTCTGCGTGAGGGTGTATCTCAGAATTAAAATATAACTACTCACTCTCACATGATTATATATATATGTATGTACATGGTAGTTTGTTATTGAACGATCATATAGTATTGATTTTTTTTTTTGGGGGAGGGGGGATAAATTATACAGATTTGTCTGAGATTTGACAAAAATACAAATTGCCTCACAATTACAAAATAATTACACTGACCTCTCTTAAAGTAACAGCAAAGTTAACAGAGTTCATGGATATTGTAAAATCATGTTTTTAACGCAAAATATTTTGTGATTTGTAGACTGATGTGCATCGTTAAATATTTTGTCTGACTTAATAGTAAGTGTGAAATATGTGCTAAACATAAGGAGGGTTATATGCTCTTTTTAAATTTCAAATTGGCCAATCACACACAATAAAGCATAGGGGTTAAGGTGTATTTTGCCTCCCAAGCAAATGACTAAAATATCAATAGTTCACACATTTAAGTTACTTATACATAAGGATATTTTAGTCTTTTTAAATCGTTAGCGAGTCTAACAGTATATTTTCAGTTTACAAATCATAAAGAGACTCTAATTTTTTATCAAATAAGAGGGAGTAATCCATACATAGGTCAAATCACAAAAAGTAAAGTAAAATTTATCTTAAATTTAATAAAAATTTAATATAATTATATTAAAATTTTGAAAATTATTATGCCTTCTTTAAATATCAGAGGATGTGAGTATAATTTGTTCAATTTTTTTCTGTCAACATCATGTGTTTCATTTTCAAGGTGTTTTTAAAAGTAATTTCTATGAAGCACCACGTTGAAGCAGATCCAATTTCCAATGGAGGTACGGCCAAGAGTAACTTGATTTGATGATTGTTGGGTGTTTCTCATGGGATATAGGTATTTTTATTGGGATTAATGATACGTTTACCAAATTTGTTTAATCCAAATTTGTTAGAATGAATTTTTTCTTAAGAAGAGACTCCCATACGTGACTCTCTTCTCGATAAAAGACTCATTCAGACTAAACAAATTCCATAGATGTATTGGTACTGTTTCATTGGTAAGGTCCATCAATGGGGAGATACATCCTAGAACATCATAGTAACTTAAGGATTGAGTTGAGAATTAATTTTTTTTAATAATTTTTTGTATTAATTTTTTAATTAAAACTTCAGCTTTCCGACTAAAGGTTCAGGCACTACCCATTTAATTTCAAAGTAACATTCTCAATTTTGGCTTGACTTAAATTTAAAGGCAGCTGACGGTGATATAAATAAACGTTTGTTTGATGACAGGATAGAATTACGGCTAAGGATATCATATTATTGCCCCTTTTTTTCTTCTCAAGTAAGCACCAAAAATTTCAATATTACATTTGCACAATAAAACATTATAAGTCATATCAATAATCACACAGATGTGCCCTGCATAATATAGAGAGAGAAAACACCACATTTTGTATTTTGCAAGAATTAACCCCTGGCCTCACTTTTGAAATAAAAATTGTACAGAGATAGGCAATTAAACTAACCCAGGTACCCTAAGCATAGACATTCATCAATTCCTTGAGGAGGGAAAAAAAAATTAACACAAAATTACCTATTACCCTCTGACCATCTGGCTTTTTAAGCAACTGTACAACAAAAATTAAAGTAAAAGCAAAATTTTATCGACAGAATGAGACTATCAAAAACACCAACACCAGATAGAAAGGCATCTGGTTTGCAAACATTCCAGCTATGTAGCACAAATTCAGCTGAAGCATTGATTCCAAAAGCATGCCAATTTAAGTTCCAAATTTGCTGTATCTTTCTTTTCTTTTCTTCTTTTTTCCTCCCTTTATCTACTAAATAAATCAACAAAATGCGCTTTTACAAATTTGGGTGAGAGGTACAACTAATAATACATAATGTACATCCAATCTGAATCTATACAAAATTACAGTACTTTCTTCAATAAGCTGACCTCCAAAGGGCTTAAAAACACAGCCACTGGGCTGTACTCCCTCGTTAATTAAAAATTGGCCATTTGAGTTAGCATCAGAAATTCCTAAGAAGCTTACTCAAGAAAAAGAGAGGCAGCAGCATCTGCCGATTCTGCAATTCGAGCTGCTTCAGCAATTCTAAGCGCCATTGCAGCTTTGTAAGTTGCCAGGTCAGCATTCTCCATGAGAAGCTGTGCTCTTTGACGCTTCACAGCAGCTGAACTGCCTGATCTACTTGCTGCAGCTTTAGCTTCTTGGACTCTAAGCAAGGCATTCTGTTCTTCCAAAACATCTTGTTCTGTTGCCATGGCTGTACATTTGTGGAAAATAGGTCAGATTCACTCATAATATACAACAGAACAAAAATTACCAACTAGGTGTTTAGCCAACCCAAAACAAATCACTTTAATCACCAATGAATTATAAATATATGGGGCTGAAGCATCCACCCAAATATTACAATAACCTATAAAGCATACACATAAACATATTACAATTTTACAAGCCCAGAACTTCTGAGGTTCAGATATAGTATAGTTGGTACTAGAAAATGGAGTAACACCATAAATAAATTTGTATTTTTCTTCATTTTCAATTCTGGATAATAAAGTACCCAATATTAAGAACTGAAAGGTCATCAGGTGATTGACAGAGCTACAAAATACGCACCTTGCAAGAGCGTTCGCTGCTTGCCTCTCCCAGAATTGCTTGCCTGTCGTTTGAATGACCTTTTCTTACGAAAAATGGGCTTCGGGAGCAGTTCAGCTTTCCTTGGCTGAAAACACTGTCAGGAAATATCATCTATTCAGACCACCCACTCAATAGGGCAACTCAAAACACCATCACAATCCCAACTGTATAAGACACGGCAAAAAGAAGTACAAGGCAAACCACAAAAATAGAATAAAACAAGAGAAGCGAGACGAGGGGGTCACAAGGAGTAGCTGGCATTCTTCTCTTAAATAGTTCAGAACACAAGTTTTCTGAAGGCACGTGCACAATATTAACGCTAAATACACAACCTTGGTTTGACTGGTAGTAGGTATGACAGCATTAGCTCCACAGGCTTATAGTTCATTTGTATCACAACGATGCAAACAGTTCTCAGCAAATTTCTGCCCAGATAGTTTAGTTTCGCTTTGATACATAGAAAGCCAATGCAAGAGAAACAAAATAAACAAGGTTATGCCTATGGATCTTTTAAATCTAGAAGACATCTTCTCTCTATTGAACACAAAGAAAAAGAAAAGGAATGAAAAAATAAGTCACGTCAAATCACTGCTTGCAATCTAACTCGGATTATACAAAAAAGTTCCCCATCATACTTAACAGCACATATCACCATCCACATCAAATGTTAATAAATCCCACAAGGGCAACAAAATTTCTAACAGGGAATATCTGCACTTGAAAACAGCAGAACATTCCAAACGCCATCCTGCCATAAGCACAACTGACTCAAACTCCTGACTCAGCCCCAAACTGTTGCTTGGCACAACTTTTAATAACTTGATCGGGTATAATCTATACCAGATTAGAATAACAACAGAAACCATTGGAGGTGATTTTATATGGCTAAGCATGCACCGTTTTTTGAGACATTGGACATTAATTAAAGGGGAAATTACTCATCAGTGCTAGTTTTCAAAAATTATTACACTTCAATGAAAATTTGTGATTTTAATTATTAATATTCATGCACTTTTTGGTAATTAACTGTTCTGAAACCCACTGCACTGTTATTTCCCCTAAATTAAATGGCATACTGGACACAACAATAGAATAGAAACATTCAAGGGGAGTCTTTGATCGAAGAAAAATAAAAGCACAATATGAAACAATTCTATAATCAACATCTTACACGTAATACTGATCTGAAGTGGTAGATTGGAGATTTTTTTTTTTTTTTGGTATAAATGGTACATAATGGAGATGAATACGTAATAAAACCGCAATTTATACATATCAGACAGAGAAGAGGAACTCCAATGGGGCAACTAAATAAGAATAATAAAGATAAATATTGCCAATACAAAATAATATTCCCAGAACAATTTGCTTTTACCTGGAAAACCCTAATCAGTGCTGAACGTTTCTGCTTCCGTTTTTTCAACCAATAATTATACACAGCTTCAACAACCTCCTTTCTCTCTAGATCCAAACAAAGATCCACTGCTGCTTTCTCATCAGAGTAATCATCTGGACTGCAATAGAAAGCTTTCTCAAAAGCATCAATTATTAACTCAAAAATCTCCTCTGATATGTGCTCCCACTGCTCATTCCCTGCTGCAAAAGACTCATTGTTTAATGTTCTGAGCCACTCCTCATCGTCAGAGTCCATGTCATAATTTGCTGTCCTCTTTGCCAATGCTCTTGACAACTCATCATCTTTCACACTAATGTATGAAATTGGTCGCCTAAAGTCTACATTGCTGCTATCAGCATAACCTGATACTTCATATACCCCAGGAACAGGGATGATATTACCACTTGGGACCTGCACATTGCGATTAGAACATTCCTTATAAAGTTCCTTAAAAATCAACCAGTCTCGCCTATCAGGAAACTCTAGCTTCCAATTATTATTATCTTCTGTCCATATAATGTCATTAGTAACACGATTGCAACTACAGGGTCTCATAAGTTTTAGTGCAGTAAGGCTGTGTCTTGTTATCCCGTCTTTCTTAACTGCAAGAGACCACTGTTTTGAAGCAGAAATTTCCAGCTTAACAATTGCACCTTGTATTCTGTAACACTTGTGCGATTCAACAACCAAAATGTTTGCGGAGCAGCAAGTTGAATCAATGTCCTGTGTCAATGCCACCAATGAAGATTTCAGTTCTTTGATGTTTGGTGTTGAACACTTCTGAACAGAACTCCTCAGTTGACGATCAGAAGGAGCAGGAGCCAACAGATGACCATTTTTTCTAGAACTAACCAAATTAGAACCCAAAGGGCCATTAACTTTACGCCGGCGGAAAATAGAAGGATTTATCATTCTCTTAGACCTCAGAGAACTCCTCCTCTTCCGGATATTGTGAGCATTAACACCATTCCTAAATTGAACAGCTCTACCAGTTAATTTGGGAGCTTCAACAGCAGAGTAAAATATGTCCCCCATCCCATAATTATTATTTCCAGATATTAAAGTTCCAAATCCAGGAGTATCTTTCTCAGAAGAGATGCATGGCAGGTGTTCCACAACTTCAGTCATTCTATCATCCATCACGTTTGAATAAGTTACGGTAACATTAGACAAGCATGCAGATCTAAGAAGCAAGCTTGAATGCAAATACATGAAGCAGAATGGAACTGCAGAAAATTCCACAGTAAACAATGGGATAAAACACCTGGCTCCAAAAAATTTGCAATTTCCAGAGCTTTTGGTGGAAAGATTGGTGGAAAGAGAATCCTGAAAGAATGACAAAAGAGAAAAGCACAAGAAAAATATGAATGGAATGATCAATTCAAACAATATCAAATGAAGCGCTAGATTAGAAACCACAATGAATGGAATGATCAAATCAAATAATATAAAATGGGGCATAAGACCATCTCCAATCCTTCACCAATTTTTTTTTTATCAAAAAGCTTGATTTGATATGATCTACTATAATCCAGCAAAATCTTTAAAAATTCCCCTCTTATTCCAAACTTCCCTTTTCATCAAATTTGATGAAAAAAAAATCATCTACACTGCTTTATCTTTTTAAATTTGCATCAAATTCAAATTTGATGAACGATTTTATGAGTTATCAATTTGATTAAAAAAGGACTGTCCTTGATTTGATGAAATGATTGGAGATGATTTTTGAATACTTTTTCAGCAAATTTAAATTTGACGAAAGAAAATGTGAAGGATTGGCTATGCTCTAAGAACCACAAAGTTACAAAATACAATTTCAATTTCTGCAAAATATAAATAAGTACCGGTAAAAAATGAATTCCTTGTGATGAGAAAACATGAGCAACAGGTTCAGAGCGCACAAATGCAGAAAGCTGTAACAATTTCAGCTTGGCCCTCTTCATGTACCTCAAAATCAAGCTCAAAAGGCAAGCAAACTCATCAATACTGCAAGAAGAAGGTTCAACAACAGCAATCAGAACCCTACTTCTAGCAAAACCTTGCCTCTCCCCAATTCTCTTCCTGCTCCGTTGCTTCCGTACGAACTGCTTCCCATACTTCCTATCTTCCAAAGCAATCTTGTTCTCAGAACTACCTTCAAAATCTGAACTTTTTGAATCTATTCTCTTCCTTTTCCTCTGGTAAACAAAACCCCAAATCCTATCTACACTACTATTCTGATTAACTAAACTCCTATTCCGATTTCCCACCGATTCGGGCTCCGATATTTTTTCATCAATGTCCATTACTGCAAATTCTTGCTGCTTCAAACCAACATCATCATCAAGTCGCCACCCATTCTCCTTGCAATGGCTACCGCCACCGCCGCCACCGTCCTGAGAATTATCGAGAAGCTCAATCCACTCCTCCCCATTGGAAGTTGCGCGCAAGTGGCAGCCGCCACTCTCGTGTGCTTTCCCTCACCGGGACCGGTCCACAACCGCCTTCCCGACCTCAAAACCCTAGCCCCGAAAACCCTCGTCGTCCTTCTCATCCCAACTGAAGGCATCTGCGCGTGGTTCCGATGAGGCAAAACACCGGACTCAATCTTTCCCCTTCGAATCACAGCTCTCCAGACTCGTCCCAACCCAACCACACCACTCACTCACTTCAACTCAGATTTCTCACTCACTCTACAAAGTTCCACAGTTTAACAACATCGAATCACAGAATCTCCAACGAATCAACCATAAAAGGCCTGATTCATAATTAAAAAAATCATTCAGTAACGCATCGTATACAAGAGAGCGTACCTGAGAACAGAATCGAATCGAAGCCTAAAAATCAGACTTTAGATCGAACAAAACGAGAACCAGAGGTTCAGACTATGGATCTAACATAAAAGTGAGATTTAATTGTCTAGAAAATCGGATATCGAAGCTTTCGACTTTTCTTGTGGAAGAAGAAGAGAAAGCTGCGGAGGGAGGGATACGTAGTACGTTCTAGGGTTTATGATGAAACTGTGTGGGAGGCGGGAGGTAACTACTAGCCGACCTTTGGGAGCCGTTGGATGGATGGAATGGATGGTTGAGATTTAAATGATGGGAGAATATTTCGATGTCACCGCGGGACGTTTTATAAATGAGTAATGCTAGAGACCCCAAATATTCTACTAAAAATTTTACCAAATGTCTCACATGGGTGGGGACCACACAATGTAGTTCCATGTGGGTCCACACCAGTGAGACATTTGGTAAAACTTTGGTAGAATTTTGGACCTCTAGCATTTTTGTTTATAAAAGAGGGAGATTAGGATTGTTTTGGGAAAGTGAAGTTAAAGTTGATTTTTTTTTTTAATGTGTGTTATTTGAATAATGTAAATAAATATATTTTTTTAAATTTTTATTAAAAAATATATTAAAAAAAATAGAGGATAATATATATAACCCTTCTCTAAAGTGTACTCATACCTATCATGCCAAAAATTCCAGCTATTTGATGAGAGAATAGTCGGATACTAAGGCATGGTTTGGGAATAGGGTTTGGAGATTTTTTTGGTTAAAATAGTCACAAAAAAAAAAAATAATTTTTAACTCAATAACAAAAAAATCATATTCAATCTATAATCATTATATTATTTCTTTCACAATAAAGTCAAAAGTCCTTCCTAAATTAGATTTTTTAGTTCGAGGCTAAAATAGTAAAAAAAAATCGAAAAGCCAAACAGCCAACCCATTTCCCAAACCATGCCTAAGAGTCTTTTTTTTTCTAAATATTTTTTTTTAAAAAAAAATTTAGAGAATTGATCTATTTTTTTAAATTATTTGGGAAATTAACCCACTTTTTAAAATCACATTTAAAAATGTAATTTTAAATTAAAATTACTTTTTTAATATTGTAATTTCACTTTGAAAATACAATTTATGATGACATAGACTTCACTTTTTGAAATTATATTTTCAACATGCAATTTCAAGATGAAATTACATGTTGAAAATGTAATTTTAATTTAAAATCCCATTTTCAAAATGTAATTTCAAAAAGTAAGTTAATTTTCTAAATAATTTAAAAAGTGAGTTAATTTCTAAATTGTTTTTTTTTTAGAATATTAAAAAAAAAAAAACTCGGGATACTAATGCCCTTGGTTTTATGAAAGGAGGATTACGCCCTTGATGAACGGATACGGAGGATAACAAGAAGGAATAGCAAGGGTTTTTAGGTCTTTTCCAGATATTATTACCAAGGATAGTATGGATAACTATTTTTTAAAAATAATTTTAATAAAAATATTACCAAGTTTAAAAAGAGAGATTATTATTTATTAATAGTCCTAATATACTTTTCTATAAATTTGAAATCTAAACCTCCTCTTCCAAATGGATTGAATACAACAACTTTTTTTTTTTTTGTTTTTTTGGAACACCAAATACAAAAACTTTAGTTCGAAAAAACAAGAGCAACCATATAGAGTCACCTTGAGGACCATTTATTTTTAGAGTTAAATTAGGTAAAATTATTAGTGTGAAAATTATTAATTAAGAGATTGAGGAAAATTGTATTTATTTGTAATATATTTTAATGAGGGAATTGACTATATAAAATATCATAGATATCTTCTGGTATTTTTGATATATTTTAATATTAAAAATCATATTTTATAATTTTTTTTGGTACTATATTATATAAAAAATAAAAAAAAAAAACCCACACACACAAACACACAACACAGACACAACACAGATAAAATAGTATTTTTCTTTAAGCTAATCCCCTCACAAGTTTTGAAATCCAATACTTTCAGCCGCCACTCTCGTGTGCTTTCCCTCACCGGGACCGGTCCACAACCGCCTTCCCGACCTCAAAACCCTAGCCCCGAAAACCCTCGTCGTCCTTCTCATCCCAACTGAAGGCATCTGCGCGTGGTTCCGATGAGGCAAAACACCGGACTCAATCTTTCCCCTTCGAATCACAGCTCTCCAGACTCGTCCCAACCCAACCACACCACTCACTCACTTCAACTCAGATTTCTCACTCACTCTACAAAGTTCCACAGTTTAACAACATCGAATCACAGAATCTCCAACGAATCAACCATAAAAAGGCCTGATTCATAATTAAAAAAATCATTCAGTAACGCATCGTATACAAGAGAGCGTACCTGAGAACATAATCGAATCGAAGCCTAAAAATCAGACTTTAGATCGAACAAAACGAGAATCCAGAGGTTCAGACTATGGATCTAACATAAAAGTGAGATTTAATTGTCTAGAAAATCGGATATCGAAGCTTTCGACTCTTTCTTGTGGAAGAAGAAGAGAAAGCTGCGGAGGGAGGGATACGTAGTACGTTCTAGGGTTTATGATGAAACTGTGTGGGAGGCGGGAGGTAACTACTAGCCGACCTTTGGGAGCCGTTGGATGGATGGAATGGATGGTTGAGATTTAATAATGATGGGAGAATATTTCGATGTCACCAGCGGGACGTTTTATAAATAGAGGGAGATTAGGATTGTTTTGGGAAAGTTAAGTTAAAGTTGATTTTTTTTTTTTAAATGTGTGTTATTTGGAATAATGTAAATACATATATTTTTTAAAATTTTTATTAAAAAAATATATAAAAAAAATAGAGGGGTAATATAATATAACCCTTCTCTAAAGTGTACTCATACCTATCATGCCAAACAATCCCAGCTATTTGATGAGAGAATAGTCGGATACTAAGGCATGGTTTGGGAAGAGGGTTTGGAGGTTTTTTTGGTTAAAATAGTCACAAAAAATAAAATAAATTTTTTAACTCAATAATATAAAAAATCATATTCAATCTATAATCATTATATTTTTTCTTTCACAATAAAATCAAAAGTCCTTTCCAAATTAGATTTTTTAGTTTCAGGCTAAAATAATAAAAAAAAAACGGAAAAGCCAAACAGCCAACCCATTTCCCAAACCATGCCTAAGAGTTTTTTTTTCTAAATATTTTTTTTTTAAAAAAAATTTAGAGAATTGATCTATTTTTTAAATTATTTGGAAAATTAGCCCACTTTTTAAAATCACATTTTAAAAATATAATTTTAAATTAAAATTATATTTTTAATATGTAATTTCACTTTGAAATCGCATGTTGAAAATACAATTTATGATGACATAGACTTCACTTTTTGAAATTATATTTTCAACATGCAATTTCAAGATGAAATTACATGTTGAAAATGTAATTTTAATTTAAAATCCCATTTTCAAAATGTAATTTCAAAAAGTAAGTTAATTTTCTAAATAATTTAAAAAGTGAGTTAATTTCTAAATTGTTTTTTTTTTAGAATATTAAAAAAAAAAAAACTCGGGATACTAATGCCCTTGGTTTTATGAAAGGAGGATTACGCCCTTGATGAACGGATATGGAGGATAACAAGAAGGAATAGCAAGGGTTTTTAGGTCTTTTCCAGATATTATTACCAAGGATAGCATGGATAACTATTTTTTTAAAATAATTTTAATAAAAATATTACCAAGTTTAATAAGAGAGATTATTATTTATTAATAGTCCTAATATACTTTTCTATAAATTTGAAATCTAAACCTCCTCTTCCAAATGGATTGAATACAACAACTTTTTTTTTTTTTTTTGCTTTTTTGGAACACCAAATACAACAACTTAGTTCGAAAAAACAAGAGCAACCATATAGAGTCACCTTGAGGACCATTTATTTTTAGAGTTAAATTAGGTAAAATTATTAGTGTGAAAATTATTAATTAAGAGATTGAGGAAAATTGTATTTATTTGTAATATATTTTAATGAGGGAATTGACTATATAAAATATCATAGATATCTTCTGGTATTTTTGATATATTTTAATATTAAAAATCATATTTTATAATTTTTTTTGGTACTATATTATATAAAAAATAAAAAAAAAAAACCCACACACACAAACACACAACACAGACACAACACAGATAAAATAGTATTTTTCTTTAAGCTAATCCCCTCACAAGTTTTGAAATCCAATACTTTTGCTAATCCTTTCTTTCAAGACCCATGCTAATTTGAACAGACTATCAATTCCAAATTCTACTTTGCAAACAAATATGATTTTTTATGGTCCCTTCTCACTATGAATCCAATCCTCTCATTTATCTCCCAAAATAAACAGGGCTAAGTTTTTTTTTTTTTTACCATGCGGGACATTTTAGAGAGAGAGAGAGAGGATATTTTTTTGGATACTAAGCCAAGCCCTTTGTTTTATGAAAGGATGATTACGGCCTTGATGAGATAGATATATATGGAGAATAAAAAGAAGGAATAGCAAGGGTTTTCATGTCTTTTCGAGATATTACCAAGGATAACAAATTTTTTAAATAATTTTAATAAATATATTACCAAGTTTAATAAGTGAGGTTATTATTTATTAATAGTCCTATTTTTATTTTTATTTTTATTTTTTTTGAAATCTCAACCTCCTCTTCCATAGTTTGAAAAAAGAGCAATTAAGTTCATTTTTTTTAAGGATTAAACAGTGACAACATTCGGATTTAAATATTATTATTACAAAATAAATAAATAAAATTAGATGGTGTGCATATTGGATAAGTGTTATGAACATCACCGAATTCAACATAGATTGAGAAATTTTTTTTTAAAGAAGTTATCAAATTTTTAAACTTAAAATTCAAAATAATTATATAAAGGAGGTTGTATAAGGTAATTTAATTTAATAATAGAAAAAAGTAATTAATTGGATGTGAATACAAATAAATAAATAAATATGAAAAAAAAAAAGCCCTTCATTCATGAAGCCCAACTGTTCATCCAAAAACAAAAACAACAATGATTTAGACCACTAAAAAATACACCACTAATAGCACTAATGCATTGGAAATGATAAAAAAAGAAAAGAAAAAAAGAAACAAGGCATAGAAAGTGAGCGGGACCCACTGCCACATTATTAGTAGTCCTTCTAGTGCTCTCAAGTATTTTTCAAACAAAAAACGTTTTGGGACCATAACAAAGCAAGCTGTCATCAACCACAAGTTGGGCTCTTCTTATATAAGTACATTTTTTATATTTTTTTTTATTCATATCATATTTCTATTTTTTTACACATCTTTTCATAAAAAGTAAGAAAATATATTTATTTACATCATCCTAAACATATATTTGTCAAGGCAGTAAAATTCATAGCTTTGAGTAATATTAATACTTATATGTATATATCTATATTTTATTATATCTTTTAAATATAAAATCCACTAATTTAAATCAAGGGAGATTTTCCATAGATCATTTTTTACCTACTTATGTTTTATTTAATTTACATTATTTTTTTATATTCCAATAAATTCTATAAGTGATATAGTTATTAAAATATCCCTAATAATATTCACATTTACAAGGTGAATATTTCATGATGTGAATGTTCACACTGTCAATGTGAATGTTTACATTACCAAACTGCTAACTGTTAAAAAAATATTTGTAAGGGAAAAAATATCCACAAAATACCTTAAATATGAGAATTAGGATTTGATAGATTAAATATCCAAATAATATAACTTATTAAAATATAAGAATATTTTATGAACTAATTAAAATACAAACATTTAAAAATGAATTTTCTAATAAATTTTCCTTAAATGGAGGGAATCATTAATTATATAATATTTATCCGGAAAATGTTTAGTGGCTACAAATTATGTGGCTCAAACGGTCCAAAAATGTCAAAACGACGTTATTTTGACATTTTCAGAATTATTTTGTACCAAAAACGATATCGTTTTGACATTTTTAAATCATTTGAACTACAAAATTTGTGACCACCAATCATTGCCCATATTTACCCCCTCGTTAAATATGTAAACAAATTTAGGGTTGGTTTGGGATATTCTAAAAAATTATACTTTTTGACTTATTGGCTTATATGAGTTGGGTTTGGGTTGTGTTTGATGTGATGTGTTAGAGAAATGATGTGATTTAAATAAGATGATGTGACTTAAATAGGATAGTAATTTTTTGACTTTTTGTATTATTTAGGCCAAGTTTGGAAAAAACTAAAAAAGTGCACTTTTTGACTTTTTATGAAATATGGGTTGATTTGAGTTGGATTTGAAGTAATGTGTTAGAGAGGTGATGTGACTTAAATAAGATGATGTGACTTAAATAGGATTGTGACTTTTTGACTTTTTGAATTTTTTAAAAGATGCCAAACTTGACCTTAGTAGATGCCAAACTCGGCCTTACTTTTGATCAAAGGTAGATAGGCGTGGTCCCATTGGATGTGGGATTTACTTTTTAAAAAAAAAAAGAAAAAAAAAAGGGAAAAGAAAAAGTCAAAAAGTATGACACGTGATAAAAACGGAAAGAAAAAGCCTAGCCTAAAAAATTCTATATAGTACATATATATTATTATAATTTTCTTCACCAAACCTCAAGTATGTGAGGTCAGGAATATTTGTCATTTCTTGATTTGTTTTAAGAAGTTGATTAAAAATTAATTTTTAAATTTTTTTTAATTTGTTTTAAAAAAATATATAAGATAATATAATTCAAAATAAATTAAAAGCTATAAGATTCTAAAATAGCTCTTTGTATCACACAACATATAAATTAGGTGCCAATTTTAAAAGAGTGATGCGGAGACCCCAATGACTAGGCACCCCAGCACCCTCCAGTGTCACATGGCACATTGCCAGTGGCTGAAGTCCAAAAAAAAAAAAAAAAAAAACCAGCAAGGACCCCATCACCCCCACTGGGGTCCAACGCATTTTCTATTTTAAAATTATGAATATTAGTTGTTATATATCATCCAGGTTTTAGTTAAATTATTCACCGTTTATATGACTGAAAAATTGACAAGAAATTATTTTGATTTATTAGATTTGTAATGGTTATTTCTAGACAACAAATAAATTAGGGTGATGCAAAATGACGATAGAAAGTTTGTCTTTCATTTTTACCATTTTTACCGTTTATAAGACTGAAAAATTTATCATTTTTTTACCTCAATTTAATTTTTTTTTTCTCTTTCATTTTGGCCGTTCTTGTTTATAAGGTTATTTTTTCAATTTATTTTTAAAACTAGTTTTTTAATCAAAATTAAACAAAAAATATCACATGTTGACATAAAATATATTATTATATTTAATCTATGCTTCTAATTCATACTTCTCAAATATAATAATATATTATTTTAAGGTTATAAAAAGTTGATAATGAGAGTTGCTATATAATTTGATCTAACTATATAAAACACTGTTTCTATTGAGTGATTATTTGTTGTTTTGTGTAGTATTGTTCTGCATCATTTATCACTTTGGCCTCGTTAGATAACAGGTTTTTTTTAGTAATTTTTTAGTTTTTTTGACTAAAATATGATATAAAAAAAGTAGTTTATTTGGGATGACTTGTTAATTTTTTACAAAAAGATATAAAAAAAGTAGA